TGTTGCAAAGGAAATATCTGCTGAAGCTTTTCGCCAGACATTAATCATAGCAGAACCATCTGGAGTCAGATCAACGTAGGCCGGTAAGGCAATCACTGATTGGCATGTCCTTAAGCCAATCAGGAAATGTCACAGACCCACTGAAGGATGTGTAGATTGTATACGAATTCTTTTTGGTGGCAAAGGACAGGTTTATGTGTTTTAATAAAGGTGGCTTCCAAAATATAGAGATGAAACTTATCAACTTTATATTTTAAGATCTGTGAAAGAACTTAGCTAACAGATGTTTCCGCATATAAAATCTATCTTCAAATAGAGTTATAAGAAAATAGACTGAAACTAGTGATAAAACGAGGTTTGAAAATGTATACTGTGGTAACTTATTACAGGACAAATCATCAGGATTTAAATTATATTGGTTAAAAAAACCATACCAATAATAGATTGAAACTATTAGGTTAAAGCTATTAACCCAACTTAAGTTGTTGGTTAAACAGAAATGTGTTGGTAGGTTAGACTATTATCGGATGGAGGCCTATAACAAAAATATAGTTTTAAATAAATAATTTTGAACAGGGCTATATAGGCCTATTACTAAAACAGCAAACTGAATGTAATAACCTCACACGTTTTCAACAATTTATTATTAGAGGCAGGGGCGTATCCAGGATTTTCCAGGGGTGTGTTTGTGTGTATGTACTCACTTTTGAAAAGTTTTTTTTTCACACAATCAAATTGGCACAAATTTTTTCAGTGTATAGACTGGGACCCTCCATATTATTGCACCAGACAGTGTATAAAGTCGGGTACCATATAGCATTGGTATCACGGATATCAACACAGAGGCCTCTCATTGGCTCAGCAGTATGTCTGCGGACTTATAACGCTAGAATCCGGGTTTTGATATCTGTGGTGGGCAGAGCACAGATAGCCCATTGTATAGCTTTGTGCTTAATTACAAACAAACAAACATCAACACATTATTGTGCTGGAGTATACTTTACGGGGGGGGGGTGCTCTATAGAGGATACGCTATTGATTAGAGGGATAACACAAATTTCTATATTGAAATAGATGAAGGATCACACCACCCTGATGCTTTTGACACACGTTGGGGCCGTGGGTGTGTTATAAGAGTAACGGTCAAATTCCACTAATAGGTCTGACAAATGGCCCAAGTGTTGGCGATGGGTGGTATGAACTAATTGCTTTCCATTTTGGTGAGACCACTTCAAAAGTGTAAGCATGTCTATACGCGTTTTGCATCTATTTAGAAGATTACTTTTCTCCTATGTTCCAAGAACAAAATACTCTAATTGTTTCGATATTTCTTTTTACTAAGCATATTCAATGAATCAAAATTTAACAAATATTTTTCACTGATAAAGAAACACGAAAAGTTACTTTAAATAGAGTATCTCTCTCTGCCTGAATGGATGCGAGAGTGTATCATGTTTGGTTGTGAAAAATAAATAACATAAGTGGCTTAATAGCATTTTTCTTTGTAATTGTTCAGCGAACATCGTGTGTTAGTGTGCTGGAGCCTCGTTTTGAGATTGAGCAGAAATAATTCAGATAGAATTAAAAGCCCTTCACGTTATCATCATATAGAAGGGACAGTGGAGAGTTTGAGTGTCTAAATCAAACAATAAAAGAGAAAATACTATCGGTGTTTTACAACAAAAACTACTGCTCGTCTGTCTTAGTCGAAGGCATTAATAAGAAAAAGCAAATTATCTTCGGACGTTGTATAATGTGTGAAAAGCAATTGCATTTTACCAGTTTGTTTGTTTTTTTTTTGTTGAATTTAGTTAGCACAAACTACATGAGGGTTATCTACGCTAGCCTTCTTCAATTTTGAATGGATGTACTAGAGGGAAGGAAGATAGTAAACACCACCCAGTGCCAACTTTTGGGTTATTCTTGTCAGACCGAATAGTGGGGTCTGACTTTTATCCTTACAATGTGCCCAAAGCGCGATGATGTTTTTGCGGTAAGGGGACGCGAACCACGAACTTCAGCTGCATAGTAGGCTGCTCTCGGCCAGCATTTTACTAATGTTTAATGTTGTTATTATTTCTGTTATATACCTTTTTACAGAAAACTGTATTTCAAGTATTAGCGATAGAATGGTAATCTGATGGTGCCATGTCTGGAGAATATGGTGGGTGAGGGGAGAACTTCCCAACCCAACTCCATAATCTTGTGTTGCGTCAAACGTGTCACATGTGAACGTGGATTGTCGTGGAGAA